CAAAGAGGACAAAGCAGGTCTGGGGCAGGGCACAGCTATGGGGATGTGAGTGCTACTGACCTGGCCTTCTGGGGGCTGTTTACATGAAGCCTTTGGAGGGTGTTGGACGACCCTCAGTACCGTGCTCCTCGGACCCCATGGGGTGTTCAGCCCACGGGGCAGAAATGTTCGTCACTGGCTTACACAGCAATTAAACACCAAAACTGAAATGTGTGACCATAAAATATAAACACTGACAAACCAGGTACCGAGCAACTGAAAACACTTAAAACCAAAAACTATCCCTAAAAAATAACCACCCAGGGCATGTTGGTTTTGGTCATTTATGGTTTTTCTATCTGACAGTTAACTTAGAGTTGATGAAAAACAGCAGGTTGATGGTGCTGGAATATGAAACCCTCTGTCGTCAGGAAAACCTAACAGGAGGAACTCGGACAGCGTGTCTCTGTCTCATTTCATCCCCTGCACCTGTTCTGGGAAGACCACCTCTGCAGAGGACACCTCCCTGATTTCTCTAGCCAGACGGCGAGTATGATATGGTTTTGATCATGCCTTTTATAGCACTGGCTCTCCTCAAGAAACTCGACTGAGACGATTTAGTTATTTCACAAAGCCTTGAGACAACAGATTATTCATCAGTTGTGAACTGGGCTGAATTCTAACAGGTAGCACAGGTTAGATGCTACCTATGCTAGAAGCAATGCCTTGAGCTAGAGCGCCTTACAATTTCCTTATTTTTCCTCTTGGTAAAAAGCAGAAAATCTCTAAATGTTGTTCAAACCCTTCAAAAGAAAGGTTTTAAACTACTCCTATGTGAAACATTTGCATATTTCATTTGTAAGCATTCTAGATTTGCAAAACTGCTGAATAGATGTTTTGTGCACTAGCAGTGATTAAGAACATAGCTATGTCAATGGCATTTTCTGTTTAGTTTTTTTGTGGTCCGGATGCCAATGAACAGCATGCATCTTCCTTGCAACAAGCTGTTGCAAGATTTTTGCCTCTGGAGAAGCCAAGGGGGAAATATTGCTAGATGTGTTAAAATAACCTTTCTAAACAGGGGATCATATACACTATGCAAGAATATAATTCCCTCTCTTGTTTTGCCATTATTTTAGGGTATCTGTAAAACTTTAACAAAAAATACAGTATTACAAATTCACTTTCATATGGTAGCCTTCTCTCCCTCAAATGATATTTGAAAAGAGTCCATGCCATATAACAAACCAGTAGTGGTGGTCAATGGAGTAAGCATGTGGAATAGCTCAATCTCAAGCAAAAGATTTTTCCAAATTCTTGTTTAAAACAAGATCTATCCGATCAGCTTGTCTTATTGCAGCCACTTCTGGACATTGAAAATAAACTTGTTTGTTCAGCAAGTAAATGTAACATATTGAAAGTGCAAGTCAAAATTCTGATCTATGTGAAAACAATAATTTTGCTATTCACTATTAGTATAGCGTACCCTTCTCTTCTATACAGATACAAATTGGTGCAGAGGTTTGAAAATAACAGAATCTATTAACTTGTACAAAATCTGCTTGTCCATCATGGGCTAAGGGATTCCTGGCCTATCAGCAGTCTTCCACAGAACTCTTAATATTAAAAATTTTTGCTGCTTACACCGCAAGGGAGAAAGAGCTGACAAAAGCGTTTGGCCAGTGAGATCAAAATGGGCGAGGGGAGGGAGAAAGGGGAGTTCAGCTTATTTACATTTTTGCTTTGTTAGTAAACTGGGAGGGTTGGAGCAAGAGGGAAAGCAAAAAAAAAAAAAAAAAAAAGAGAGAGAGAGAGAAAAGTGAAATTAACAGCCACTAAATCTTCTGGCAACAGCACTGCATTTTGATGATGTGCTGTGTCAGCTTCCACTAATGGTTTAGGGTTGAATCAGGCACAGTTCAAGACCCAAAGCAGTGCAAGGTGTCACATCTCATTTTTTGGAAGAACACGTACCCTAATTATTAAGATGGCTACAAAATAAAGAGATCAGGATTTAGAGCAAAGCAGAATAATGATCTACTTAATGGGAAATCAGAATGCCATTTTGAATCCCTAAAAATCATAAAAGAGCAGGACTTCAGCCCTGTAATGAATGTACAACTGAACGAGTGTTACCATTTTGAGAGAAAACTATTTTTCTCAACAAACCCCGTCAAAGTTGCTTTTTCTGCTCTTAGGGGTTAATCTCCCTGGTCTATTCTAGCAATGCAAATGGAAACAAAGGCTGTATATGTGTGTGCCACTTACCACACAAAATATCCATCCAGTATTTCAGAGAGCACAGGAAGGAAATGCCCACTGAGCCAGGGACATGCCAATGTCAGTGCTGCCTGTGCCAGTCTGTTCCTGTGAAATTCGCGGCGTGCGGCTGAAAGCAATGCGAAATGGCAGGCTTGCGGTGGGGTGGGGAGACAGCTTAAACAGGCAGTGGAAGAGAATCAGCCATTTGGGAGGTTTAACAGGGGGCTGTTTGTTTGTCTGCCCTTTTGATGTTAAATTAGTCTTCAATTTTGTTGCAAGGAAGGAGGCACTGGGAAAAGGATGCTTCTCTTCCAGTAAACCCTGGGAAAGCAACACCTTTATTTTAACGGCCTTCCCACCAAGAACCCCCTGCAACATTTTGGCTTTCCCTAGCCATAGCTATCAGCAACACAACAGCTGCTCATTTTACAATGACTTGCTGGAGAGAGAATGATTGAAAGAGCCAATCTATGTCACATGGAGAAGCTGTGGCACAACATTGCAGGAGGTAATAGGAGAGGAATGAGGTCAGAACAAACAAGGGTAGGGTGAGAACGGAGAGGAAAATAGCACCGAACAAAATTATTAAAGGCGAGACACTGTACTACATAATCTACGTTTAAAAACAGCCGCAACCTGAATGCTGAAAATAGCCACAGAAAAGCAAACAAGCTCTGTATTACTTTTTCACAGGGTCTCGTGAATATGGCTGATGAAAAAAGCTACCAGAGTCCTAGTAATAAAGCACAGCAGTGGGAACACACATAGGTGAAAGCACAGGCTAATTCATACGGCTTGAAAGTCCCAGCACCCGGCGGTGTCCCACTAGTCGCAGGGTTTTAAATAGCAGCCTTGCTTGTGTCATTTTGTAGCTTAAGAAACACAGCAGCAGCAGCAGCAGCAGCAGCAATGCTACTGCAGCTGCCTGGCTCCCCTCCGGAGAACGTCGCATTAGCTCACGCCTGGGAGTTCACCTTTAGCAAAAGAGCTGCAGAGACCAGGAGCTCGCCCACGCCGGGGAAACAGCAGCAGGTGATTCTGATTTAGTACCATTCATGAAAATCCTTGCTGAGGAATTGTTGTTCTCGTTCTAGACCAGAAAACCACCGTGCAAAATGGTGTCACGGTTTGTATGAAGAGGCAACACTAATCACTATGCCAGTCACAAAAATAAGCTTTGGGGCTCACATGAAGTGAGGAAGCTACTCTGACCCTGACCTTTGGGCCCACACCCCTTCTATTTTTACCCCCCAGGGATCAACGGGTTTTATGAAAGTTATTACTTTCCCCTGCACACTGTCCTTATCTGTCATGGCTACAGTAAAGCTATTTTCAACGTCACAGTGTTCTT